AATGTGTGCCTGTTGGGGGTGGCCCGAGGTGTTTGAGGTGCAGGACAGGACGGTAAATGGTGCTGTCTGATGGACAGGGCTGAAAGCAGAAAGAGGAGCAGGTATTTTTGAAGAGTAGATGCCTGGTGTTTCCACCAACACTTAGAACCACCAGCTTGTTGAGAAGGAAGCCTGATGTATTCTCTGCATAAGGGGAAGGAGGTGGAAGTTCTGACCATAAAGCCCTGAGCCAAACTGAGACTGTGGCTGTTATAGGCCATACTTTGTTCCCTCCTGAGAGTTCAGGCCTCTGGCAGGTTATCAAGATCTCCTGGTAGATCATGTCATGCCAGCTGGGGCCCCTGCATTGTCGCTGGGGAGCCATTGTGGGGTTTTGGCCACTGTGGGGATTATGTGTGACACAATGTGATGTGAGGATTTCCACTTGGATGTCCCCCAGGTATCAAGGGGCTTACTTACCACAAGACAATTCCTCCTCTCCCATCACCTGCTCCTCTGTCTGTGGTCCCCATATCACAGGACTCTCTTCCCAGGTCCCCAGGGCAGAAAACCCAAGTCATCTTAGAGATTTCCCTTTTTTGTCCCACAGTTGTCACTGAATCCTGTCCCTACCATTGTCTAAATGTTTCTTGAACCTACCCTCATTTCTGGCTGTCTTGCCTCAGCCTTAGATCTGGCTGCCTTGATTTGTTGCCTGGATTACCAAATCCATAACCAAACCTCTTGCTGTCTATTCTGACTCATAGCGACTCTGTGGGACAGAGTACAACTGCATCATAGGGGTTCTAAGGCAGTAGTCTTTATGGAAGCAAACTGCCACGTGTTTCTGCTGTGGAGCACCTGATGGGTTTGAACCACTGACCTTTCAGTTAGCTGAGCGTTTAACCACTGTACCACAGGGCTCCTTGCTTAAATTACAACTACCTAATTACCTGGTCTTCTAGACAAACTTCTGTTTATCTTCAGGAGATGCCAGGAAATCTTTCTAACTCACACATCTGACTAGACCTTGAAATTCTTGGGTGGTGGTTTTGTTTTCTGAATGAATTCCCTCCGTTTAGCCTGTTGTGGCTTCTGCTCACCCAAGGTTTGAGGAGCCCCCTGTAGCTCTTCAGTGCTCCATGCCCTCCACCCTGAACACTCCTCCCCAGTTCTACAATGTTACTGCTCCTTGCTTCTCAAAACTTGGTTCCATTCTAGTCTTTCATTGTACCTTCTCTGACACCCTCACCCTCTGTCTGCCCTGTGTAGTACCTTTCTTTGTGTTCCATAGACCCTAGGCCTCTGGAAGCTGGTCTTCTGTCTCACTCACTTGTATGCAGGCCCTGTGAGGGCAGATTTGTCTACAGAAAATGAGAGTAAAATGGCATTTTTGTCCCGTGTATGACATGTAAACTAATAGTTAGAGAGTTTCAGTCAGAAACAACACTTCATAAGGGACACATAGTCTTAATTTCTAAACTAGCATTCTTTTTGCTATGCCTTGTCTAAAACAGAATAAATATTTTATTTGAATTAGAGATCTTTTTATATTAACTAGCTGTGGTCTGCTTTTATTTCTTAATTTCTTCCATTTCCTTTTTATTTGTTTGTTTTTCAAAAGAAATTGTTTTTAGTGAACTTTCCTGTATGTTATCTCACTCTTTTTTTTTTTTTTTGGTAGCCATTACGGTTCTTCTTTCCTGTTTTCTTTTCGGATAGATTTGTCTCTTTTTTTAAACTTTTTATTGTGATTTCAGTGAAACTTCACAGAGCTGATTGGTTTTTTTGTACAATTCATACACTTTTTGTGACATTGACTTTTTGTGTGTCATTGATTGCAGTCCCCACAGTGCAGCAGCAGTCTTGCCACTTCTCTGTGTTTACTGTTTCTATTCGCCCTTTCCTGCTCCTTTCTGTCTTCTGAGCTTTATCCCTGAGCAATGCTACCCTTTTGATCTCTTCTGGTTGATTCTTCTAATGAGTTCACATCTTCTTGGTATTCTCCTTCACCTTACAGGCCTGCTGTTTGGCTGAGATTTGAACCTCAGGAGTGAGTTCAGTACCAGGCTAGGAGGGTGTCTAAGGCCCATAGTCTCAGGGGTTCTACCACTCCCTCTCAGATCAGTGAGCCTGATCTTTTTTTTTTAAAGTTTTGTTCCACATTCTCCCACTCTATCCAGGACTACCTATTATGATCCTTTTGAGAGCAATCATCAGTGGTAGCTGGGTACCATCTAGTTCTTTTGGTCTCAGGTTTTGTGTTTGTTTGTTTGTTTTAATGGAAGACATCTCAACAGAATAATTTGGTTCATATTTTTTACTGTCATAATCTGTTTTCCACATTTGATTAGGGGTACTGTTTTTCAAGTAGATTTATGCTCCCTGTGTGTTTTTGTCTTTACTTTCTTTGTCCATTCTTGATTTTTACAGTGAAGCAAAATCCAATATGGATTACTGAAATTTAGTCCATCGTTTTTTAATCCATTACAACTGAACCAATAAGCAGCATCACGGTAAACGGAGAAAAGATTGGGGTTGTCAGGGATTTCATATTGCTTGGATCCACAATCAACACCAATGGAAGCAGTGTCAGGAAATCAGATGACATACTGCACTGGGCAAATCTGCTGCAAAAGACCTCTTTAAAATGATGAAGATCAAAGGTGTGTTTGAAGACTGAGGTGCTCCTAACCCAAGCCAGGGTATTTTCAGTCACTTCATATGCATGTGGAAGCTGGACAATGAATAAGGCAGGCCGAAGAAGAGCTTATGCTTTTGAGTTGTGGTGTTGGCGAAGAATAATGAAAGTACCATGGACTGCCAGAAGAACTAACAAATCTGTCCTGAGGGAAGTGCAGCCAGAATGCTCTTTGGAAGTGAGATTGGACAGACTTCGTCTCACCTACTTCGGTCATGTTGTCAGAAGGGACCATTCCCTGGAGAAGGATGTCTTGCTTGGTAAGGTGGAGGGTCAATGAAAAAGGGGAAGACCCTCAAGGAGATGGATTGACGCAGTGGCCGCAGTGATGGACTCAAGTATAGCAGGGATTGTGAGGCTGGCACAGGACCAGGCAGTGTTTTGTTCTGTTGTACATGGGGGTGCTATGAGTTGGAGCCGACTTGACAGCACCTAACAACAGGAACAGAGTCCATCATTATTATTTTTCTGTAGATGCTTCTGTAGGTAAGTCTCTTATTAACCCAACCCTTGAGGAACTAGGATATTAATTTTCTTTATGGATATGTTTAATAAGATTATTAGTAAATTAAGTTTAATGTCTCCCTAAACAACATAGGAAAAACATTTGTCCTTTTTTCACCAAGAGCATCAAATAAAACTCAAGGTCTTGGGTGCAGCATGTTTATTCTGACCACCTTCTATGTAGGCCTCTTTCAAGCTGCTCTGTGCTGAAATATGTATGTCTTTTTAGATACTGCTTTTTTGTAATTTTCCAAATGGATGATACATGTAGATGAAAAAAAGTGAATGAGAAAAAATGGCTTTCAGTGAAAACATCACATCTCTCACTGTTGTCCCCAGCCACCTAGTTTCCCTACAAGGATGTAACACCTTTCTAGTTTCTTTTTCATGTTGTTTCTGCACATTCTTTTTTTTTTTTTAGGATTTGGGTGAAGATTTACAGAGTAAATTCACTTTTCATACAGCAGTTCACATACACTTTGTCTCATGTCATTGACCAAAATTTACAATGCAGCAGCTCCCCTCCCACTTCCTCCCCATAGTTACCTCCTCCCAGTGTCCATCCCTTCATACTCTTCGAGAGGCCCATTGTCTGCCAACCCTGTATATGATCTTGGATACACTCTCCATTTAGACATACATAATTGTTTAGCTTGTTCACCCATCTATCCGTCCCTATACCCATGTTTGCTTTCATTGACAACTCAGTATTGTATTTACAAAGGGGTTCATATTTGCTGTTTGTACTGCCCATGTAACTCTCTCTGTCTTTCTCATCCTCAATGCTGCCATGTTGGTCACTCACATTTGGTACATTGCCCTTCTCTTCACCCAAATCAATATTTATCTCTATCTATCTAACAGCATTCCCTCCCCTTCCCTCCCACCCCTGGTACCCAACAAAGAAAATGTCCTCCAATATATAAACCTTTCCTTAACTTTCACAATAACGAACTAATACAATATTTGTCCTTTTGTGACTGACTTATTTCGCTCAGCATAATGTCCTCCAAGTTCATCCACGTTATGCGGTGTTTTGCAGATTCTACATTATTCTTTAGCGTTGCATAGTATTCCATTGTGTGAATGTACCAAAGTTTGGTTATCCATTCCTCTGTTTCTGCACATTCTTCAGTGTATGTATCCGGACTGTATTGCTGTTCTTAATTTTTGCTAATATGAAAGCTCTGTGGTGAATATTCTTACAGCTAAAACTTTGCATACCTATTTTCTTAAGATCCTTAAAAATTGTGGGTCAAAGGGCATATTTATTTAACATTTTTAATGTACACTGTCAAATTCCATGTAGATGTATTATCCAGTTTTCTATCTTATCAAAACTATATGCCAGTGTCAGGAGCAATTACTTTAATAAATGATTTTCAAGGCTCTATAAAGAAACACTTGGCTGTTAATCAGCAGGTCAGCAGTTCAAACCCACCAGTTCTGTAGAAGAAAGATGGGGCAGTCTGTTTCTGTAAAGATTTACAGCCTTGGAAACCCTGTGGAGCAGTTCTGCACTGTCCTATGTTGTTGTTGTTATGTGCTGTCAAGTCAGACCCGACTCATAGCGACCCCTCCTTGGGTTTCCGAGGCAGTATCACTATGGAAGTAAATTGCCCCATCTGCCTTCCGAGGAGTGGCTGGTGGGTTTGAACCATCAGCCTCCTGGTTAGCAGTCAAGTGCTTTAAGCACTATGCTACCAGAGCTCCTTTGTTACTTGAAGTCAACTTCTTAATAGGTGATTGTTATTTTCTGCTCTCTTTTTCTTCCTTCCTAAAAGATTATCTTAAATGTTTTCTTGGAGCCTTAAAGATGGAGACCACAGGAATGACTGGTGTGTCATTGAAACGTGGGTCCCTTGCCGTGGAAGATAATGACAGTCTGGCTCCAGGGGAGGAGGTGAAAAGACAGAAGGTCTCAGAATGCTGTCTGAGCAAAAGTCAGGATAACCTGGAGAGAGATTGTCTACCCAGCAGTGAGAACGTGCCTGTGGTGCCTGAAGCCGTAAGCGCCGGGGAAGGTAAGAACAATTCTAACGCTCAGCTGGAAGATGAAGAAGAAGAGGAAGAAGATGGCCTTTCAGAAGAAGGTGAGGAGGAGGAGGAAGTGGAGAGTTTTGCAGACATGATGAAGCACGGACTCACTGAACTTGATGTAGGCATCACCAAGTTTGTCAGTTCCCATAAAGGATTCTCAGGAATCTTAAAAGAAAGGTATGTTTACGTATAAAATTATACAAATTCTTTTCTTTAGAAATCAGCCGTGTATTCTTCCATTCAGCTTTCAGTCCCCAAGGATTATTCACACCGATGATCTGAAAGGAATGAGACAAAGAAGAGCTGACTGAAAGAGTGAACAGTCTTGAATTTTTTAATATCTTCAATGCAAATTATGGTCAGTTCTTATCAAGATGATCCTTTCCAAAAATGTTTGAATAATAATAATAATAATTGCCAAATGTCATGCCTTATTTATATGAAAATGGGTTCTGTTTGTTTCTTTTAAAATAGTTTATTTTCAATGGTTTCCAGTTTTCTCCCAAATTAGTCTTATAATCTTCAACTCATGCACCTGAATGTGCTACATCATCCTGTAGAAAGGTGATTGTCTTTGGAACCAGATGAACCTGTGTGTGAATCCCACTTTAGGCACTTCAGTTATTTAGTTAAATATACTTATTTTCAATTCCTTGAGTCTTGGTTCCTTCATCCAAAAATTGGATCATAACACTACCTTGGGGTGTTTGAGAACATTTTGAAAGATGTGTGTAAAGTATTTAGCTTAAAGTTAAGCTTTAGCAAAATTCATGCTAAACTTGGGATTTCTGAATTGCTACATTCTGATTTAATTAACCATTTACTGTATTTTTTTTATTTACAATAGTATGGACTGTCTGTATCATCATTTAAAAAAAAAAAAAAAACCTCACTGCTGCCGAGTCAGTTCCAACTCACAGTGACCCCTTTTTTGGTTTCCAAGACTGTATGTCTACGGAAGTAGATTGCCCAGTCTTCCTGGAATAACGTTAATAAGCTTTTGTTTATGCATTGCTCAGAAAGAATACCCTGGAAGCTCAGAGGGCCTTAACCAGAAATTACTTTGCATAGAACTTTTTTTTTTTTTTTTAAGTTCCTTTTAGCACAACAGTAAGGCTTATAGGTGATGAACTTTATCCTAAAATTAATAGGAAACAAAATGTTAATTCTCTAATGGTTTGTATTTTATTTTCATCAGATACTCTGACTTCGTTGTTCACGAAATAGGAAAAGATGGACGCATCAGCCATTTGGATGACTTGTCTGTTCCAGTGGATGAGGAGGTAGAAGTTGTTCTAACAGAAATCACCTTCCGTACAGAGATGACATTTCCTAGTGATCACAGAAATAGAGAGCTTTTAACAGTCTTAGATTCTGTGTTTGACTCACTGGGGGTTCTCGTGGTTGTTTTATAGGATCCCTCAGAAGATGTTTTTACGGTTTTGACAGCTGAGGAAAAGCAGCGTTTGGAAGAGCTCCAGCTTTTTAAAAATAAGGAAACCAGTGTCGCCATTGAGGTAAATAGTGCAAAAATATATGAAAGAGTTTTTTAGGGTTTTGATTATTTTTTTGGGGTGGATGCTAGTAAGTATTTTTAAAAAAACAAAAAAACCTAAAATGACTAACAAAAGGATGACCAAATCCCTATTTGGTCTAAAAGGGATGTCAGCATTCAGATACACTACGGCTAGAAAAGTTATATTTTTGTTTTAAAAAGTTTTAAATGACCTCAAATCAACAAAGACATCTGTTGTTTGGAGCCATATAGTGTCTACTGCAACGGGACTGGCACTGCCTGACAATCAGATGCTTGTCATCTCACTGAGGGGCTCTGGGAGAGGGAGGAATTGGAGAAGTGAGGAAAGGGAACATGTCTTTGTTCAACCTGTGAGTACACTTGTGATATTCAAGAAAAGTAGAGCTCAGCTAGGAAATAGAATAGTAAGTACCTTTTTAAAAAGCTTTTTGTCAAGGAAGTTTTCTTCTAGATTAATGCTGTCCAGTGGAATTATAATGCAAGGCATGTATATAATTTCAAATTGTCTAGTAGTCACATTAAGAGAAAAATAAACAGATGGAATTTATTTTAATGATATATTTTATTTACCTTAATACACCTAAAATACCGTAATTTCAGTGTGTAATCAGTATTAAAAATTAGCCCTGAGATATTTCACATTCTTTTTTTCCTACTAGATCTTTGAAATCCAATGTCGTTTTATACAGGAGTGCATCTGAGTTCAGACCAACCACATTTCACATGCTCAGTAGCCCCGTGTGGCTAATAGCTGCTGTGTTGCATGAGAGCTGCTCTAGGTGGCGTCTGTAGCAAAGTAAATGTGTTTACAAGAGTGTGAGAACCTTGTAGCATAAAGTTTTTAGAATTTTAATTTCATTTTTTATAATACTTTAAAGAGATACTTGATTTTGGTTTGTCTGAAATTCGCCTTTCCATCACTTCTAGTTAATAAAAAAAATTTACTGTAACTTTTCAGAATTCATTATTTGCCTCCAAATCTCTTTCTGCCTCCTGGTAAAATTTCCCAAAGTAGGTGATATTGCAACTTTAAATTCATTGCCAACTGGTTGATTCTGACTCATGGCACCCAGTGGGACAGAGAAAACTGCCACATAGGGTTTCCAAGTCTGTAAATCTTAACAGAAGCAGGCTGCCACATCTTTCTCTCACATAATAGCTGATGGGTTCCTACCACGGACATTTTGGTTAGCAGCTCTGAGTGTTTTAACCGCTGTACCACCAGGGCCCCATTATAGCTTTAGAGATCTTCAGTCCCTGAATTTACCCATATAGTAAATCTTCAGCAGTGCCAAGGAGCCTAACTCCTAAGAGAGCAATCCACGGGGACAGTCCAGACTTCCTTTGTTTGTGGAATGCAGTGGTATATTTTAGCCACATGATTTGTATTTTCCTGTATAACTACCATCTCCAAAGCTAGGGTTATACTATCTACTGAAAGTTTTTATCTTTAAAGAGCATCAGCAAGTTTCTTTGCAAAACAAAGAAAGAAGTTAGACTTTCTGAATTGTGGTCTAGATACGTAATCACGCACATACACACTAAGATTCCAACCTACTGGTGCTATCAGAACTCCCAGATCTGGGCTCACTCACTGTTACGAAATTTTACATCTAAAATTGCAATGTTAAAGTTCAACAAGACAGAAAATAACAAATGCTGGCGAGGTTGTGGAGAGATTGGGACTCTCATACACTGCTGGTGGGATTGTAAAATGGCACAGTCATTGTGGAAAGCAGTATGGTGATTCCTTCAAAAGTTGGAATTAGAAATACCATTTGACCCAGCCATCCCATTACTAGGTATATACCCTAAAGAAGTGAGAGCCATGACAAGAACAGATATATGCACACCCATGTTCATCACAGCACTATTTACAATAGCCAAAAGATGGAAACAACCTAGATGTCCATCAACTGAGGAATGGATAACCAAACTATGGTACATACACATAATGGAATACTATGCAACGCTAAAGAATAACGTAGAATCTGCAAAACACCGCATAACGTGGATGAACTTGGAGGACATTATGCTGAGTGAAATAAGTCAATCACAAAAGGACAAATATTGTATTAGTCCGTTATTGTAAAAGTTAAGGAAAGGTTTATCTATTGAAGGAAATTTTCTTTGTTGGTTACCAGGGGTGGGAGGGGAGGGGAGGGAACACTGTTAGATAGATAGAGATAAATATTGATTTGGGTGAAGAGAAGGACAATGTACCAAATGTGAGTGACCAATATGGCAGCATTGAGGATGAGAAAGACATAGAGAGGTACATGGGAAGTACAGACAACAAACATGAACCCTTTTGCATATACAGTGCTGAGTTCTCAGTGAAGGCAAACATGGGTATATGGATGGATAGATAGGTGGCAGGCTGGACGATTAGGTATGTTTATGAAATGGGGAGTGTATCCAACATCATATATAGGGTTGGCAGACAATGGTCCTATAAGTTTATGTGAATGATCAGAATTCCCAGGTGTATAGTAGATCTGACAAGGGGCAAGGTTGTGGTCACTGCTTGGTCACAGCCAGCTACCCAGAGCGACTGAGTAGTTGAACCTACAGGCTTGGGACCATAGTCGCAGGGGACATCAAGCTCAATTGGCGTAACATACTATACAAAACATTGATCCACCTCCTACTTTGGCGAGTAGTGACTGGGATCTTAAAAGCTAGCAAGCTGCCATCTAGATGCAACGATGGATCTCTCCTCGTCAAGAGCAAAGAAGAAAACCAAAAGAAAGGAAAAAAGCAAGCCCAACGAACGGGTACACCATCAATCTGCAACCTATACAACTATGAGACCAGAAGAACTAGATGGTACCTGGCTACCACTGTCATCCACTTGGAAGGGATGTAGGAGATCCTGGATAGAGAGGGAGAACAATGTGGAACAAAACTCAAAATCGTTTGGAGGGAAAAAAAAAGGTGGGGACCAGGTTGCTGGTCCAATAGAGTCTGATGGAACCACTGAGACTATGCCCCCTAGCTGCCCATCAGGTCTGGAATTGAACCCACACCTGTGGTTTCCAGCCAAAGAAAGTACAGGCATGTGAGTTAAACATTTACCTCAAGAAGACACACGCTCTGGAGAGAACAATCATGGGAGAAGGAAGGGCTGGTTATGCACAGGGAGACAGCTCAGGGGGCAGGAGAGTATGGAGGAATGGACACTGGGAAGAGGTAACTGTTGCATTGTGGTAAACTGTGGTCAGTGACATGCGACAAAGTATATGTGAACTGCTGTATGGAAAGTGAATTTGCTCTGTAAATCTTCACCCAAATCACAGTGAATAATAATAAAAAAATAAAATAAAATTGCAATGTTGCTTTTTAAAAAAAATTGCTAAAATATTGTTATGTTTAGCCAGTAGTAGTTGTAGTAGTATCATTATTTTTCAGCTTGCAGGTTGCAACTCATTAGTGGGTCATGAAATCAATTTAGTGGGTCTCAACCAGCATTTAAGCCTAAGGACGGGTTGTTACGAGTCAGACCCAACTTGACGGCAGTGAGTTTGGTCTTTTTCAACCAGCAGGTTTTTTTTAACAGAATACCATAAAATAGAAAATGGCAGTGTGTTATATATAGGAAGACTGAGTGGTGTTTTGTGAATATTTTTTCAGTTTTTTAATAAAACTTATCTTAAATATCTTACAAGAAGGCTTGTAAGGCATCACTTTTCTGTACTGTAAAATAGATATAATAATGGTGGTCTGGTAGAGATATTACAATGATGAGATAAGAAAAAGAATGCAAACGAAGTGCCTTGGTATGTGTTCAACAAAGACCCTGTTAACAATTTGCAATACTGTAAAACATCAGTTAAAATATTCCTGAAATCACAACCCTGAACTGTTTTTATTTTGCATAGTGAATAAAATGGGCAGTGCTGTTAATATAGTACTAGTTCCGTATTTAATGTTTGTTCCATTCGGATCATCACTATCTCTGTTTTTAATAGGTTATTGAAGACACCAAAGAGAAAAGAACCATCATCCATCAAGCTATTAAATCTCTGTTCCCGGGATTAGAGACAAAAACAGAGGATAGAGAGGGGAAGAAATATATTGTAGCCTACCATGCAGCTGGAAAGAAGGCTTTGGCAAGTAAGTGCATGAGTGACTGGGTGTCTCTCTCATCAGGTAGCTATGAGGCAGATTCCTCTCCTCCTCCTTTGCTGTTCATGTTCAAGGGCTGCTTTGGTGGTGTTCAGAGGAGAATATTGATCAGGTCACTCCTTCAGAGAAGGTAAATACAGTCATCTCAGTTGCAGAGCAGATAGGGGCTTAGGTCTTTTATGTGGGTCAAGATTTGCTGAAACAATAGTGGTGCCTGAGAGAAAGTCTTAGAGATTTAATATGTTTTCTGAAGAGCACAGTGGGTACAGTGGCAATTCAAGGAGCAAATGGCAGGGCTGTTGGTCGTTTTGTGTTCTTAATAGAGATGAGAAAGCTTTCAGATGAACAATAAAATGCTCACCACCTATCTTAGCAGCATCTTTTCTTCAAGGTCTCTCTATTGAAACAACTTCTTCTTTCCAACTGTTAATATCATGTTGACTCACATATAATAAACATGGAACATAGGAAGTTTCCCTTTCGCCTGAACCCATCTTGTTGTGTATCATTCATTTGAAATTGATAGGTTGTCACTTAATCACTTTGATACCTACGTTCTACTGTGTTTTCTACAACCATGACAGTTTTTGCATATAACCTTAAGAAAGAGTAGGCAGTTTTTCCTCTCTTACTTGTCAAATTAGCAGATAAAATTTTAATAAAAATTATGGGAGGAAAAAATTATTTCCTCATTCTCGTCCCCTACCAATGTGATGGCACAGTTATCTCAAGGTAAAGTTGTTAGAGCAAAATTGAGACTATATAACAATGATTCGAACCATTAACACTTTTGTCAGTCAATTTAAAGGATATGCTGTGAATTAACAAATATTTAGTTGTTTGTATCTCTGGTGCTAGTGAAATGAGAGTGGAAATAAGGTTTAGCTAGGCCTATGAAAATAAGCTAGTCAAGTCACCAAGTCTAGTTAATGATAGAGAAATGAGAACTCTTGAGCTCTTTGGGAGGGTAGGTGGAGATCAGAGACTCAGGGTAACAGATGCCAAAAAGAAGAATGAGATGATGTGCTTTGGGATTACTTGGGGGCAGATGTTGTTAGTCACTTCTTAATCCAGAAGCTAATGACTGGGGTAATATGTGTTTCTTTAATTTCTGGGTCATGTATAAAATATTAGCAACTTTCTTAGCCAGGATTCTGTGAGACAATTAAGCCCAATAGAAAATGACTGTTTTCTCAGTTCTCTCAAGGATGGTATATGGCTGGTAACTCTTCTCAGTGTCTAGGAGAGCATTGATTTATTACATGCAGAGGATTCCTTAGGACATTTGATCTTAAGTCTCTCAAGGAACTCAGGTTGGGAAGGGTGCTAAAGAGGTGTTCTTTTGGGCAGCACAGTGTGGCCAGCTGCCCTCTGCACAGGAGTAATGGGAAGGCAAAAAGTCTTATTTTGCTCAGTGTGGTCATAAGGAAAAGTCAAAAAGGATTTCTTTGATTGGTTGCTTCTTGGAAATAGTCATAATTTTTTAGAGAACCCTAGGTTTGTGATCCACAGGGAGGCGACAGAGGCATCTGCAGGCCAAGTGGCCACTCGCAGCTCTCGCCCTTCCCCTCACGTGAGTGATTGGTGCCAGACTTCTCCTGCTCTGTCTGCCTGTGCATCTTTTGTGCTTAACCATAAGCCACTTCCTGTTTCTCACTCTACTTTTTTTTTTTTTTTAAGTAAAAATTCTCCTTAAGAGTTTTCAAGTGAAATGCTGAGCGCTGTGTGATGTAAAACACTTTGCCCCCTAAGTTAATTTACATTTTGAAGTAGTATACATTCCAAATGCCTCTAAAACCTTTTTAAAGACATCAGTAAAAGTTTTCTGCCATGTATGTAGGGCACTTCATGGTTCCTGAAATGACTGGCTCCCAGGAAGGGTACCTGGATATAGGGATCCCGAGAGACTCGGGAGGAAGAGCCAAACTTCCACAAGACCAGTGTCATGGAATCCGTGGTAAAAGGGGATTCCAGTCATCAGATGGTCCATGGCGAGAAAAGCTGCAGAGGTCCAGCAAGAAAGAACTCTAGCACTTGTCCCTCGGTTTAACAACATAGAAATCATTGGTGTCTTTGGCAGGGCAGTTTGAGTGACGCGTTGAAGTTGGAAACCAGTTTACACAGTAGGTTGAGATGTGAAGACAGTAAATACAGACTGCATTTTCAGATGTGAAGTCCCTGGGTGGTACAAACAGTTAATGCACTTGACTTGTTAACCAAAAGGTTGGAGGTTTGAGTCTATTCTGAGGCTACTCAGAAGAAAGACTTGACAGTCTTCTAAAACAAATCAGCTGTTGAAAACCTTATGGAGGAGAGTTCTACTCTGACACATGTGAATCAGAATAGACTCAATGACAACAGGTATTTCAGATAAGGTGTAAAGAGGAAGAGAGGGAAGGGGACGGTGTGGTTAAGGGAGGGGAGTATAGGTTTGGCTTTTAACATGGAAGAGCCCTGAGCATATATGTATGTGTGTATGTATGCATATGTATGTATGTGTGTATATGTAAGTATGTATATAAGCTGAAGGGAAAGAGCTAGTGGGGGCATGAAAATTGAGTGGGGAGAGTGGTCATTGATGGAGCAGGACACCTGAGGGAACTGAAAGGGTCAGCGTGCACGGGTGCAGTGGTGGGAGCAGCCTTGAAAAAGAAGGGAGGGAAGAGTATTCTGCATGTTGCCCCATCCTGTCATCTTTCTCAAGCCACAACACTTTTCCTTTCTTATTCATGAGGATCTCTGTGCTCGATCCATGAAACTTCCTGAACTTGTTCTCTGCTTTTATCTGTTCTTTGTTCCTTCTAGAGCAAGGCTACCATGTCAGACCATCAGAACATTGCTTCCTATTACCACAGCCTGAGAATTTTTTACATTTGCGTTGTGGATCAGAGTATCTCAGATAATGTCTGAAAGTTATTTTAAATTCACTTGAATTATAAAGCTAACTATATATTATTTAGCATCATTAGAGGTTAGAGTTTTATAAAGTCAAATAAATTGCCCAAAGTAAGTTGAGACTCTTTGATTTTTGGTTATCGAAAGTGTTCCCAGTTAATCAATGCATATGTTTACTATTCTGTATTTTGAGTGCACCTAGAAAACAGATACTCAGATCTGTTATTTGTGGAGGAGATAATTGTCTGCATGCTCAGAGCTTGCACTTGCTAATACAGAATGCATGCAGTGAGTCAAAACTCATACTTGACTGTCATGGTTTCTCTTAAGATACATAGCATTTAGTTTTTCATTCTTGTGGCTTCATTTATTTTTGCCATTATAGTTGATTGTGAATGTACTAAAGAGATAGTTAAGGGAACATGTAACATATGTCATCAATTTTTTTATTTTATCACAAGTGGATTTTTTTATTTTTAATTTTTATTGTGATTTGGGTGAAAGTTTACAAAGCAAATTCATTTTTCATACAGCAGTTTATACATGTTTTGTTTCGTGATGCATTTCACACATACTTTGTTTCATGACATTGACTGCAATTCCCCACAGTGTAATAGCACTCTTCCCACTTCCTCCCTATAATCACCTTTTCCATGTGTCCTTTCCCATGCATTCTTGCCCCCCACCCTCCTGAGCTGTCTCCCTGTACAAACACTGCCTTTCTGTTCTCCCATGATTGATTGCTCTAAGGAGTGTATCTACCTGATGTAAATGTATATCCTGTATGCCTATTGATTGTTTGGTTGGAAACCACAACAGTGAGTTCAGTTCCAGACCTAAGGGTAACTAGGGGCCATAGTCTCAGAGGTCTCACCAGGCTCTACCAGACCAGTAAACCTGTTCTTTTTTTAGGATTTTGAGTTTTGTTCCACATTGTTCTCCCACTCTCTCCCTGATCTCCTGCACCGATCCCCCTCCAAATGGTTGACTGTGGTAGCTGGGCATCATCTAGTTCTTCTGGTCTCATAGTCATATAAGCTGGGGATCACATGGTCTACTAGTCCCTTGTTTCCATGTGTCTTTGGTTTCCTTCATTCTTCTTTGCTCTGGATGAGGAGAGATCCATTGTTGCATCTTGATGGCCACTTGCAAGCTTTTAAGATCCCAGTTGCTACTTAGCAAAGTAGGATATCACAAGTGGGCTTAAAAGAAAAATTTTATTATAGACATTTTAAAACATGCACACAAGTAGAGGCAATAGTGTTTTGAGCCCCTCTACCTATCTACTGGGAGCTCTGGTAGCGTAGTGCCTAAAGGCACTTGACTGCTAACCAGAAGGCTGGCGGTTCAAGCCCACCAGCCACTTCTCGGAAGGAAGATGGGACAATCTTACTTCCGTAGTGATAACTGCCTCGGAAACCCAAGGAGGGGTCGCTATGAGTCGGGTCCGACTCGATGGCACATAACAACAACAACAACCACCACCTATCTACTAGCTTCTCAATTATCAGCATTGTGCTGCTTGAATTTGATCTCTCCCTTTACTTATTTTTTCTTGCTGGAGTGTTTTAAAACAAATTCTGTAGACCTCATCATTAAACTTATAAATATTTCAGGATGCATCTAATAGATTAGGAATAAAACACCAACCCATATAACACAAAAGTAATAATAATTCCTTAATATCTAATATTTGGTCCATGTTCAGTTTTCCCCTGATTATCTCAGATGACTTGTTCAAATAATGATCTAAGCAAGGTCAGAACATAGCATTCAATCCATAAGTCTCTTAAAATCTCTTTTAATCTCTAAGAATTCCCCATCATAGAAAATTATTTTCCATAATAATTACTCAAAATTTTTCAAATAAAAAAACCTTTATAAGCTCAATGTAGGAAACTCATAAAACATGGCAAAGCACAAAGCAAAATAATAAAGGATAACTTATAGTCTCACCACCAGAGATAATCACAGATAGCATTTGGTGTATGTCCTCTCATATTTTAAAATGTAAATCTCTAAGTGGAGAAGCGTTTTGTATCCAATCTTAAACCTTTTGCTATATATCAACCATGGATACAGATAGTGCAGCCTTTGAGGATGAACTAACATGCTCTTTGTGAAGGGACTAAGACAGGGAGGCTTGTACCTATAGGTGAGTTTTTGACATGTTCACTGTTTGCCTCTGTAACATCCCATTGTTAAATGTCTAAATGGCTGTTAACCCATCACATAACTACCAGATGCCACAGAATTCTTCAGCATAAACTTACCACGCGTCCATTTGCATGTTGACCTCTAAAGCACTTTAATATTCCATTAATTATTATCAATTAAACGTTGCTCTCTTGTGCTCTCTATGCTGTGCATTTGGACAGAGGTCAGAACTGCAACAGGTAAGAGCGGTTGGCGTTTCATGTAGACAGAATGAAATGCCAATGATATTGTCAGAAGTGCTAAGTAGAGGCAGTTTTGCTTAACTAATGGTGAGCTGGAAAGAGAACCTAAAATGACATTTCCTACTCACAGTTTTCTGAAGGTTAGTTGTGAGAAATTCACACCAAAAACTAAGAAATACTTGATACTTTCTAGCCAAGTAAATAAGTACTTGGAAGAGGATTACATTCCCATCAGATGGAAAAGCAGTTCGGTAGGTGTGCATCGTAGTGGCAGTTTTCCTAGCTAGCTCGTTCATTCATTTGTTCTTTACATTTAGCTTAAATCACTAACCTATCAAGTAGTGCTTTTGCCTTGAGAAAGGCAGGTGTACAGATACCTTCAATATGAGTTCTGTCTTAAGTCTCTGAAGTGAAGGAGTCCTGACTTTATGCTAAAGATGGGTTTTCAAGACAGAGATGAAAGAACATTTTTAACAGAAGAGGACCCTTTCTAGGGACTGTATGTATCAAATAATTTTCAGTTTTTCTTTCATGGAGTTACAGAAGTCAAGTGAGTTAACCATGTTGTACAACTAGCAGCTGCAATTCAGGGTTGCACAAGATTCATCTGTTACCATGTATTGTCTAGGGAGGGCACTGTGGCTGACATTTTTTCCTAAAGTATGGAATTTTCAAAACATCATTGGGCAGTTTAAATCCAAATCTTAATATATTTTAATATATGTTTCTACGTTATAATATAATTGAATTGTTCTATTAGAAGATCTGTATTCAAAATAAGTTCTCCAAGTTCATGAAATATCTGTCAGTCTCCCAAATATTAGAACAGTTGGAGTAGCACTAGCTCAGAAGTGAACATGTAACAAGGCAGGAGTGATGATCAGGTCTTCAGTGCCAGCTGCTCTCTCTGTCAGGTAGACACTTGTAAACCACATAATATTAGCCAAACTTTCAGGATGGAAGTGGTCTTTGGACAGTCTACAGGTATCACTGAAGTATCTATTAACAAGCTTTATGTACCACCATAAGGCATCCAGGCTGAGTAAGTGTGAGCACCTGACTGGACATAAAGCAAGGCTTATGGATTCTGATACCACTGCTGTGTTTCCCTTTGGATACATATGTTCTGAAAAGTACGTCATCTCCTCTACCAGACTTGTGTGCTGTGAGGTAACACCACTGGGAAACCATGTGCCTCTTCTGTATCTCTCCTCTTGGAAGATCACTGGTTAGTTTCAGGCGTTTTTCACAACAGCTGCACTTCAGCCATTAATTTTAAATGTAGAAAGATAAGTATTCAGTGTAAGGACCCAGTCCTGCAAAGTTTGGTACCTGTAGTCCATACACTGTAACCACTTAACCTGTATTTCCTGTGAGACTAGATCTGACTTCTCACTAGCAGGGTTCTGTACCAGAAAATGAGCTCATAGGGTTTCATAAGAAAAAGCTCAAATAAATTTTATTATGGTACATATAACATTTAATTTTTTGTTTTTAAGATCCAAGAAAACATTCTTGGCCAAAATCTAGGGGGAATTACTGCCATTTTGTATTATACAAGGAAAACAAAGACACCATGGATGCTATTAACGTACTGTCCAAGTATTTAAGGTGAGTGTCTTGTTCTTCTACAAAATCAAAACACTGCAGTTCATTTTCCTGCGGCCATTTAATTAAGCAAACTTACTTCCCAAATCCTGTTTTCTTAGGCAGTAGATGAATTAATTATTTTAACTCCCATGCATATTGCTGTAATTTAACATGAAAATTTTGTAGGTGAATAATTTACATATCATTGAGCATTCCCAGTACACCCAACTGAAAATGAAAATTAATTTCATTCCCCAAAAACCTGCACTTTGATTTGGTTACAAAGGTATGCTTCACTAAACTTGGCAGCTCCTAGTTCCTGCTTGAAAACCTGAGACCAGTCAGAATTCCTCATAGGAATAGGCAGATTGTGTCTCTGAAGAGTGTAGGTGCTGAAGATTTTTTTTCCTTCATTTTTTTTAAGTAGAAATGACTAGTGGCATCACAGTAAATCTGTATGCTATAGAAATTTATTTTCCAATATATATTTAACTTGGCTTAAGCTTAGTGAAATAGTAACCAATTAAGTATCAGCTTAGTTGATTTTATTCTGTTTTCTAGCTCCCTAGGAGGGTGAGCTCATGCTATTTACTCAGTCTTTACCTGAGGCAGGAAGAATAGAGACAGCACCTGACAGAGGAATAGCCAGTCAGGGAGGGAGCTTCTCTGCAGTCTAGAGCTGGGCTTCGCTTGGGGTTCACGAAGTCCTTCCAGCGTTTTTTCTGTTAAGATGGAGCAATCAAGTTTATAAAGTACTTCTTAGTTAACTAACTTATATGTTCATTCCAAAATGAAGATCTGAAGATCCCTGTTTTAGCATTTGACTTTTTTGTACAAAGCAAAAGGAGCCCTGATAGCTTAGTGGTTAAAGTACATAGCTGTTAACTCAAAGGTCAGTGAATCAAACCCACAGTCCTTCTGTGGAAGGAAGAGGCAGTCTGCCTCCGGAAAGATCACAGCCTTGGAAAGGCCATGAGGGAGTTCAGCTCTGTTCTCTAGGGTCGCTGTGAGTTGGGATTGACTCATCAGCAATAGATTTGGTTCATTTATTTATTGTACAAAGCAATAGCATGTTTTGAAGAAAAATGCACACTATTAATAGCTTTAAAAAAACTGAAGATAAAAATTTTTCAAACTGGGATGTTGTATATAGTATAGATTTTTATTCCACATTTTGTATAATCTGTTGAGTTGCATATGATCAACAGAAAATGTTTTGGTTCCTTTTTTGTTACTGGCTAGTTAAGTCTTTGAACATCAGTTACTCACTAATAGCCACAAATGTCCTAAGTCGGGAACTGCTAAGAAGCGACTTACTCAGGTGTCCTTTACTTTTCTAGTTTGAATATTAAGTTGTCCTACATAAAAACTTTTCTAAGTTTTTCCTCTTTCTCCTTACTCTGTTGTGATGTATGTATATTTATTTTGCAACTTAATTAGAACTGTGATTTCTTTATAGTATGTGACTTTAGATGGTTTTGTTTCTGTCTTATCAGAGTTAAGCCAAACATATTCTCCTACATGGGAACCAAAGATAAAAGGGCTATAACAGTTCAAGAGATTGCTGTTCTCAAGTAAGTAGGGAATATGTATTGGGGTTTTTACTGTAAAATTCCTAGCACTGCCTTTCAGAATTATCAAATTTTCCTTATGGGATCTATCTCTGCTATTTTTAGATGGTGTCTCTGCCAGTTACAAAAATTATTTTTCTATTTGTTTTTTACTTGCTTATCTGCATTGTTCATGTTTTTAGAGCAAACCTGTATTATTTGTATGATTATATAAGGATGTTTGTGTCGGGGAAGAGAGCTGATGGTTCAGTGGTTCAAGCGCTCAGCTGCTAACCAGAGGTGGGCAGTTTGAACCCACCAGCCACTGTGCAGGAGTAGGATGGGACATTCTGCTTCTCTAAAGATTTACAGCCTTGGAAACACTAAGGAGCAGTTCTGTGTCGTATAGGGTTCCTGTGATTTGAATTCACTGGCAAACTTGGGTTTGGTTATATTAGAATCAAGAGAATAATAACTTATTTCTCTTTTGTTTTTGGTCATCATTCCTTATTAAATATAAGGATATGTTTATTTAAATTTAATTACCAGTGAATGAACTTTTTATTATACACTGAGGTTATATAGATGAAAAAGATAATCTCTGTTTTTAAGGTGTATATAGTGGAGTGGGCAGACAGGCAAATAAAAAATTATTACACAATGAGATAAATACTAAAATAAAGATAGATTTTGGGTATTATAGTAGGCTTGAGAACAAAAGAGTCCATGAGACTTGATGGATGAGGCAGGTCAGAGAAGGATTTCAGAGAAAATGGGATGCTTGAATTGAGTCTAGATTGGGATTTCTCAGCCTTTGCACTATTGACTTTTCGGGCCAGATAACTCTTTGTTGGGGGGACTGACCTTTGCATTGTAGGATGTGTAGCAGCGTCCATGGATTCTGTCCACTATGTACCAGTGGCATTCCCCAATTGTGACAAACAAAAATGTCTCCAGACATTGCCACATGCCCCTGGGGGGACAAAAATCGCCTCTGGTTGAAACCAGTGGTCTGTGACAAGAAATTTGGAAGACAGCTGCCTGGTCAACAGACTCAAAGGGATCCATATTTTTGTCTGTTACAAAGAAAAGTGACCCAACAGACTGTGGAAATTATCAAACAGTATCATCAATAGCACATGCAAGTAAAATTTTGCTGAAGATAATTCAAAAACGGTTGCAGCAGTGCATCCACAGGGAACTGCCGGAAATTCAAGCCAGAATCAGAGGAAGATGTGAAACAAGGGATATCATTGCTGGTGTCAGATGGATGTTGGCTGAAAGCAGAGACAACCAGAAAGATGTATAACTGTGTATAGTTGACAATGCAATGGTATTCAACTGTGGATCATAACAAATTAGGAATAACATTGTGAAGAATGGAAATTCCAGAACACTTAATTGTGGTCATGCGGAACCTGTACTAGAGCAAGAGGCGGCTGTTTGAACAGGACGGGGGAATACTGCATGGTTTAAAATCAGGAAAGTTGTGTGTCAGGATTGTGTGCTTTCACCATGCTTTTTTAATCTGTGCACTGAGCAAGGAATCCAAGAAGCTGGACTGCATTAAGAAGAGTGCGGCATCAAGATTGAAGAAGATTAACAGCCTGCGATATGCCTGCTGAAAGTGAAAACTTGAAGCATTACTGATGAAGATTAAAAACTATAGCCTTCAAATATTGGTTACACCTTGACATTAAAAAAAATCTTCACAACTGGACCAATAAACGACATCATCATGATACTGAAATTGTCAAGGATTTCATTTTACTTAGATCCACAATCAATGCCTGTGGAAGCAGCAGTCAGGAAATCAAATGAGGTATTGCACTGGGACAGTCTGTTTCAAAGAACCTCTTGAAAGTGTTAAAAAGCAAAGATGTCCCTTTGAGGATAAACATACGTCTGACCTAAGCCATGGTATTTTCAATAGCCTCGTATGCATGTGAAAGCTGGACAGTGAATAAGGAAGACCAGAGAAGAATTTGTGCCTGTGAAGTATGATATTGGTGAAGAATACTGAATAAACCATGGACTGCCAAAAGAACAGACAAATCTGTCTGTTCTTGGAAGAAGTACAGCCAGAATGCTACTTAGAAGCGATGATTACAAGACTTCATCTCACGTACTTTGGACATGTTATCAGCAGAGATCTCTGCTCGGAAAAGTAGAAGGTCGGCAAAAAAGAGGAAGACTCTCAGTGAGACGGATCAACACAGCGGCCGCAGCAGTGGGCTCAGGTGTAGTGTCAATGGTAAGGACGGCACAGAACTGGACATTGTTTCCTCCTATTGTAAGTAGGGTCGCTATGACTCGGAACCAACTCGACAGCACCTTAACAAGAACAGTTTATTGCACATAATTGATACTGCAATTAAAGATCATACGTCTTTGCTATCTCTGCTTGAATAACTGTATACATTTATTTGTGCCTCTCCCAGCATTTCATAAAGACTCCAAGGTGGCATTTTTCCTTAACTTACAGTCTTCTACAATCTGGGCACAACACACACACACACACACCCCACACCCCACCCCCATTTCACTGAGTCACACGTAGTTGAGCTCCTGGTTGCATCCTTATGGGTTATCCCGGTTCTTTTCTTCTTTGACCTCAGGACAGTGCCATGATACAGTAGTAAAAGGGAAGTAAAAACATCTTATCACCATCAGTTTGACTGTCTGCAAATGTTGATGTGTTTGAAAGAGCAGGGGGAGGTATATGAAAATGATGGTGTTCTACCTAGTGGTTTTTTTTTTTTTCTTTTCTTCCTGTGATGAATAGGATACAGAGTTAAGACTCCAGGGGTCAGGAATGGGCAAAGGAACTTGAAAGAGTTCCTTGAAGATTTGAAATAGCATCTGTGAGTAATGGACCAGGGCACTGATCATAAGCTCAGAATGGGCTGAAGGTGGATGGGGGATGGGTGGTGAGAAGGGACAGTGATTTCAGGGCTCAAGCTTTCCCGTATTCTGGGTTCCGGACACAGAAAGTTCTTTTCTTCTCTTTGGTTTCTAGAATGTCATTGTATTCACTTCCTGTGACTTCTGGCTGGCTCTGTGAATTTGCCAACCTAATGTTAAAAATAAGTTGGTTTGTTTTCGGTCCAACAGAGATGGACTAATAGAAGGTAAAAGCTCTGCCATAATTGCATTCGTTCAGTGATTACCTTGGTCGCACCTGCTGCTTTTTGGGGGGTGGGGCAACAACTTTTTTTTTCCCCTTTTAAACCAAAACTTTATATAAACTATTCCGTTCTTGTGAACAGTAAGTGATGTCCCTTTCCCTGTCAGTACATAGAAATATACCTCATCCTTTTTAGTGATTATCATATAGTTACATACATGAATGTCTCCTAAATTTATCAACTATTACTCTCATTTTTAAATGTTTATATTATTTCCCATTTCTTGCTATTATAAGCAATTTTATGGCAGACATATTTGTAGCTAAATTTTAGCACATGTCTGTGATTACTGCTAAACTTAGCAGTGGAATTACTGCGTTAAAGAGAATTCTTTTGATAGCAAAGCATTCTTGCCCTGCAGAAAGCAGTCCACTTTATCACCTTTATTCTACTTCCCCAGAAGCACCTCCAGCATAGTATTATGATTTAAAAAAAAAAAAAATCATTTGCTAACTTGAGGGTCAAAAAATGACATCTCATTGTTTTATTTTCCATTTTATGTTGTGAAAGGTTTGGAAATTTGAAGACTGAAGATACTTTTTATTCTTCTTAGTCAGCCAGCAGGTGTCACACTTTATCTTGAAACTGCTGTGTCCTCACAGACCTTTGCTGCTTTTATCGTCTTCCTGTTGATTTAGTAAAACCATATTAAACACCTAACTGCTGGCCTTTGAACACAAGAAGCACTTATCTCACGGATGCAGGTTGCATTTTGAGTTTGCTTAATGAAGATGTGGGGCTGGCCGATGGGCCTTTCCCGTGAGAACTGGTGAACAGGATAAGCCCACTCTCCCATGCAAAGATTTAGTTATTACTGAATGGATCAGTCCGGGGAATAAACAATATTACTTTTCAGCTTCATATAACTCTAAAGTCACCTAGTAGTGTTAACAGGATCTCAGGCTGGAACAGTCTCATTCAGAAGGCTTTGTTTCTTTTCCTGCCTGTTCCTGCCAGCCTCCTTTCTGAGCCTGGGCCAGCCTTTCTCTGGCTTTGTTAATAAAGGCTTCTTGTCCAGCATGCTGCTTAGGTAGCTGCACAATTGTGAAATATTCATATTTCCAAGTCACTTACAGGTTTGGTATTCATTTACAACCAAAGAGCTTGATCTGGGATCATCATAATTAAAACTCTGAATAGCATCATGACTATTGTCAGCTCTATCCCATCTGGTCGCAGTGAAGAACTAAGACAGCTCTTGCTTTCTGTCATGCTGAGGGGACTCAGAAATACATGTCCATTCTGAACAGGCGAGGGGATGTCATTCAGACATAAAAGGATCATGTTCTGGTGCATGCTACTATATGGATAATCCTTGAAAATAAGCTAAGTGAAAATAGCTAGATACATAAGGCCATTTATTGTGTGATCCTATTGACAGGCAGTCCCCAACTTACAACATACATGAATTACAACAAACTGCACTATCAGCCATCCATTACTGTTGTTTTTTGTATATGTTACTGTTAGTAATATGTACTACTTAAAATATTGCACTGTGTAATTTGCTGATGTTATCGATCTCAGATATAATGTTCCTAATGGTAGCATAGTGCCTAAGGCACTTGACTGCTCACCAGAAGGCTGGCGGTTCAAACCCACCAGCCACTCCTCGGAAGGAAGGTTGGGCAACCCTACTTCCGTAGTGATACTGCCTCGGAAACCCAAGGAGGGGTCACTATGAGTCGGGGCCGACTCAACGGCAATCAACAACAACAACAATCCCCAAATACAAAGATTGGATTTATAAAGATACTGATGATAAAAGGCAATGATAATAAAAACTAAATTTTACAAAATGAGGTATTCAACTTATGTCAGACCTAACGTACAATG